GGAAAACACTGTACCCTGTGATAATGTCAGCTATGGTGAAGGGAAACAGTAGACAATAGCACCAATCCAGTCTTGCACTCAGAAACAAAACCTAAACACAAGAGGCCTGTTATACCACTGCCATCCCTAAATTCTTCGCTTAACATTTTTGTCTGCATTTGAAACCCTTAAGCTGTAACTTGGGGGGGGGGAGCAGAAAAAAGGCCTTTGACTCCAGAGCTACTGACTAGGATGACTAACTGCTTGCCGTTTACCCGTAAAATCCCATGACAAAATTAAACTCAACAGGAAGACAAGTCAAGCTATAAAGCTCAATCATGAAATAAAAGTGCACTAAAGACACTATATTCTCTCAACATGCTAAGAAACCGCAAACAATTATAACCAGATGTGTGAGTGCAAGAATGAGTATTCTTTATACAGCTGTAGAAAATATGGGATGCAAGACAGCAACATCAATAAAATTGTCTTAATTAAATGCAAGCTGCTAAAACACAGCAGGCCTCTTAGAGTACCATTTCCTTCATAAAAATTTGGGTTGAGTGACAAGAATGTTCCCCAATTCAATACGGTAAGTTGACAGAAACACTATGTAAGAAACTGGGTCATCCAGTATACACTGAGTGTAGTAATGCCATCTTTTTCTGCAACATCAAAATGAAGGTGAGAGGAGGCTGTCCTGTCTTGCTAGAAAAAGGTCATATGATCCCCTGCCTACACTCATTAGTAAGTTGTGTAAGATTGTGAACTATCAAAGCCTTTATTTGAAATATAGTAAGAGTCTGTTTACTCTGTAATCAATGAGACAAAAGCAAAGCAATATGAAAAAAACAGAAAATCAAGTACTTCTCTTGTTCATGTCATCCCTCTATTTAATTTAAGGTCACGTCAATTCTAGAATGTCAACAGGACAGTCCTTATCACAAGGAAATGAGTGCACCTGGATATTAATTTGTGTATACCTACTTCTCTGTTCCCACATAGCATAAAAAACTCTTTATTAGCCTTCAGTGAGATCAACAGATCAGTCAACATTTCTGTTCAAAAAATAGGGGATGGGTAGGGAGTTAGGAGTGTGACACAACAAGGAAGCAGAGAAGGAAAAGTCACCCAAAGTAGCAGAAAACAGAAAATTATATTAGACCTCAAAGTTCTGAGAAAGAAGGGGTCCTACAGAAACATCTCTGCAAAAAGTTCAATTTTCTCCGACAGAATCACACCTACCTACAAATCCTATACAAGTTTCCAGATACAGCTACAGTAGTTTGAAACTTAAATACTTACACTACTTTAAAACTTACAGAAGCGAAGGGAAAATGCTCTGTAGGACAGCCCTAAATTTGAGAGGGGCTCTAAAGGGGCTTAACAAAATACATCTCTGTTACCTACATAAAATGTAAGATAGATGTACATTACTAAAGTGAAGGTTCTTTATTGTGCTTGTGAAGGACAAGTTCTAAAACCATCACTTCTCATTTCTGATGTTCATGTAAATCCAAGGACTAGAGTGTAAGTTAAAAAGCGAAAGTCTGAAAAAGCCTTTGTTTTCACAGCTCTTTCCTTTTGGTACTGGCAGCTTCAATGCAAGTGACACCCAAACTTCTGCATCTGGAATTTCGAATTATTTAACTGAATGGACTTCTGAGTTTTAGGAACGACCATGTGAAAATTTCGATCTTCAAGAAAAAGGAATGACACTGGATAAATACTTATCCGTCTCAGGCATAAATTCAGTAACGTCTGTGAGAACATAGATGAAAATAGCAGAGGTTTGGTATGAGTAGTTACAGAATTCCTCTTCAGTTTTCAAAAACAACAGACAATACAAGATTTTGATTCTTAAATTTATTTTTAGCAGGATGTGTGTACTAATGGATGGTGACATCATTAGAAGATAGGTCCATGTCCACCACCTGCAACAGAAGCTAGACAGATGTTAAAGAAAACAATTCAAGAGTTAAAGATGACACTACTTACCCAGAGCAGACTTACGAAAGTCACCTACTAAGCAGTACAGTTAGCTTTTGATGCAGACATGATAACTTCTATTATTTATCTTTTAAAACTTCCTGTCAAGATTTAATTCATACATTACCTTGATTTTGATGGGAATCATGCGCTTCTGTTTAGAAATAACTATTAGAGAAACTCTTCTTTTTAAAAAAATACCCATGGAAAGATTGGTTATTTAAAGTTACTTACCTGTACATTTTCTTCAGAAGAGAAAAGATCTGCAAATTTAGGTCTAAAGCTCCCATCTAAAGTTTAAAGTTAGAATTTGAATTCTCTGGCAGTTCTTGCTAACACTGTTAAACCAGGTCAACAGCAGGTAACATTTTTAGATTCCCTAAGAATACAACACTTGTTTCTTACCATACCTGGATGTCTGACAAATCAATAAAGTAGGATCTCAACAGTACTCTCACAGATAGGCGATAACTAATTCAAAAAGAAATGAAGACTTGATATGTTACAGCCCAGAGACCATGTTATACTCAAATAATGTCAACAGCCAGAAGTCTAACAAAGGAAACAAGCTTCTCTAGAACAAACTAATTTCACCAGAAATTAAACTTGAGCAACAAAACCTAAGGACACACAGTTCAGGAAATACATTCTCAAAGAATTACATGACAGGTCCCTTCCCAGTGCTATTTCAAATGAGAAGCCAAGAAGCAAGGCTCAATCTGAGGTACAGTATTACCTAAGACTGTTAAAACAGATTACTAGCTTCAGAAAACAAATGCATCTGGCCACAGGTACTTGGTACTTAACACCAAAAGACAGCCATTTCTTAAAAATTTAAAAAAAAAAAAAAAACAAACAGAGAAACTAAGTCAGCTGGCCCTATAGACAGTATCATGAACACATCCTGATTTTACATTTCAAAACTTCAAAATACTTATCAGCCTGCACTTCCCAAACCAAAAGGCACTATTGGTAGTGAGCATAAAGTCACCTCACTCATCTTCACACAAGTTTAGAAGCTTGATTCTGAAGTTCTTGTTCTTTATAATCTCTCGGCTCATAGTTCTTCATTAGTACCTTGGGTTGACACCATCTTGGCTAACAGTTCTTTATTAGTAACCTGCATTTATACCACACTGACAACATTCTTAAAGTACACCTCAATATCCTAGGACTTTAGCTGTTCAAAACAGACTGCTATGGATACTGAAGACTGGCTCCTGCTTTCTTAAAAATGACCTCTGAAACCAGTCTGAAACTGGAAGTGTGCTGTATTACAATGAGATTCCTTAACAGTTTAAATAATTCAGTCAAGAATCCCAGTTTTAAGGACCATGACAGCCTGGGAATAAGCAACTGCTTTCTCTTACAGCTAGGAACTCTTTGATCTACTAATAGTGGGAAATTAAACTGTTTTGTATTTGTTGAAAACCACCAACAAGAGCGGAATCTGTTCACAGCTGCACTCCATTTTTAATTTCTGATTAATTGAGCTCTTTTGTTTTTACAGAAGTATATATCTGTCTGAAAGACTAAGTCAGCCTTTTGAGCAACCACTATCCCAGTGGCCTACTATACCTAAACGGGGTCTAATTGCTGGTAATCATCTGCAGTAAGAAATGAGTCTCAAGACAATCAGTCCCACAATAGTACTGAGGGAACTTGTCCCTCAAACACATTACATACACACACACTGAGGGAAGGTAGGGCAGGTGATTAAAAGCTTAAGGCTTCCTGTTCTTTAATCTTCCAGGTTCCATTGTGCAGCTAGATCAGCTGCTGCTGCAAGCAGCACTACAGTGCATACCATCTATCTTACATAAAGTTGGTTGATATTCTTCCCACAGGATAGACGCAGTGAAGCTGATAGGACAAACCTTCATCAATTGCTCTTCTGCGACGCAGAAGGAAGTCAGTCAGGAAATAAGAGTAGCCTAGAACAACACAACTGATCTGAATGATCCCTTCAGATACATTGTGAGCAGCATTTTCCACAGCAAAGGCACCTCAAAATCTGAACTCAAGTTATGAAATTATAAGAAGGTAAAGAAATCACCGCAGGGAGAAGAAAGGGTTCTTGACAGGCCTGTACGATATGAAATCTGAAGTGCAATTAATTTGAGCACCATGTAAGGACATATGCATATGCTGCAGTTACAGGGCACTACAATTGTTCAGCTATCTACCCTTGCAAAAGGATACAGCTCCAGTGTTATTAGTGTAATACTCAAATTAGTGCTGTAACCTATCTCTCAAAGCTGAGACGACGAATTAGGAAAGTGTTGGATACCAAATTATGGACTATTTAGGACATGTGGGATGTTCAACAGGAGGCCTGACAGTATTATGTGATAGGAAAGGAAAACAGTTGACTGGTAACAGTGAAGAACAGAGTTACTTAGAGAATCATTTGCTTATCATGAGCTGTTCACTCTGCATCCTTTTATTAATGATTTGTCCTGTACTAATGGTGCTAGTGCTTCAAATGCTGCTAACCAGCTGAGTTAGCGGCTATAGAACCTAAAACTACATTTTACTGGGTTTAACAGATGTTTGAGTCAGGTTAAGAAGTTGTGCTGAAACCAGTATCCTTTAAGTGCCTTCCCAAACCTACAAGTACCAGAAAGACCACTCCATTCCCAAAAAAGATACTATTAAACAATGCAACATACTGAAGACTTATAACAATGACTGAAAAAGAACAAGAAAAAAAATTTAGTCTATGAAGAACTAAGCTTGTGCCACTCAGAAAGACCTTTTATCTGCATTACTAGAACTAAAGTCTGTAAATATAATGAAGACTGAATAGGCTAAAAACCAGAAAGACAAACATTTAAGTGATTACAGCTGTAATATTACCCATGTTGAGCTGGTTTAACAGAGTTAGAATACTAGAAGCAAAAACAATACCTTGTTAAAAATGTGCTGGAAGCAAAGACCTAACAGTGGTGATTAAATATTTACCTTTGGAGAAAAAATTTGTTTAGGCAAACTAAAAACATCTGCAAGAACAAGCTTTAGTGAAGAATGGACTAAAACAAAACATTACGCACTTCCAACTTATGCTCTTTCTCTGCAAGGAATTCTTTTTGACATCGGAGAAAGTCTGACAACATTCGAGTTAGCTGTTTTCTATCATCTATTTCAGCTGCCAACCTGCCATTGTAATCCGCCAGCAACATACATGCATCATCTACCATTTTGGAAAGTTGCTCTCCAGATTCCTTATCTAAAAAGCAAGAAGAGAAAAACAAGTAAAGCACGATTTCATTATAAACTGTTAGGTTCTCAGAACAGCATTTCGGTTATAGGATTCCCAACCCTCACCTGTTATTCTGTCTAACAGAGACACATCTTGGACCTCTATAGGCAAAGAAGCTATTCTCTGATGAACTGCTGCATCCCCAGAGGCAGCGTTTTCTAGTTCTTGTAATGCTCTAATGAGATCTGTGGTCTGAAAAAAGCATGCAAGATTGAGAACTAGTTTAAATAAACAGATCCTAGCACAAAACAGTATTTCACAATAAGCTTACGGATTCAATTTGATAGTAATTTTAAAAGCATTTATGATATCAGCATTATAGCAACGTTCTATCCCCTCTCAGGCTGAAAACAAAACAGAAATAAGCCATTAGTTCTCAGAACATTGCAGAGTGTTCCTAGTTTTAAAGGATGCATTCCTAAAACAGATTTTTCATTTAAATTCTTGGTATAGGACTACTTAATAAAGCTTTTATTTTTGACAGTAGTGATTATTTTACAGTACCTTTCATTTTACTATACATTTTTGAAACTATTTTTCTTGCAGTTTTGCTTCACTATTGCATCAGACTAGATCAGTGAATTTCTTTTGGAAGTAGGGCTGATGTTCATAGAAGCCCAGATGTCTGTCACAGAGAAACATACTAAATTGTGATTGAGGACAGTCATTCCTTGCCGTAAACAAAAGCCTTTTGAGATGGGGCAGTACCATAACAAAAATCCTGAAAGAATTACAAAAGCCGTAAAAATGCAAGATAAGAACTTTTCCCAACCACCATGACTGCAACATTGAGAATAGACAAAGTTGGGTATATAACTCATACAGTCTGGTTTAGTGCCAAACTGACTAAAGTTACAGCATGCTCAACTTCTTAGCTCCACTTTTAACCTGAAGTACCGTGAAAAAAAGTTTCATCTGTAGTCACCCTTGCTCAGAAACAGTACCTCATTAAAAACAAAAACAGAGACCATTCAAAAGGAAGAGTTAACTGGAAAATTCTACATCAAACCATATCCAATTACAGAATTTTATAAATATACTTTTACCTGAGGAGGGTCAGTGGGAGAACTTCGAGGGGAACAGTTATTTTCATCAACTTTAATCTGTTCATATGTGCGCTTCCTCACCTTTCTGTCTCCATCTAAATGAAAAACAGAGGAGTCAGAAAAATAATATTTCAAACAAGAGACTGAATCTCCATATACACACAAAATACTTACATAAAGCTTGCCTAAGTTGTTCTAATACATCATTTTCATAAACAGACCTTTCCTCCCAGATAGAGAGCACTCGGCCAAGGTGTTTCTTACAACTCTCATCAGACTCACTGTTAGAAGAAAAAAAAAAAAGGAAAAAAATCAGCACTAGGTAAGAGTACAGCACTGCCGTAGGATTATTTTTCGCAGGACAACTTTGGCATACTTTATCAATATCAAAGTATCAGGAGTCAGAAAATAACAAAATCACATTTTAAAGAAAAGAAAGCAAAGACCAGTTCAATATGTCTTAGCAAGTACATAAAAAAAGCCAATGCCCAATTCCCTCTTGGTTTGCTCGCCCAACCCATAAATCTGTAAGTCTGTAACTCTATTGCAGAAACTCTGCAAACAGGTTTGTGTTGCTTTAACAGCTGTATAACGTGAAAATAATTCTGTATCAAGACTCTAGCATCCTCATGCAATGAGATGAATGGCTGCTGGGAGAAAACAAATCATGCAACACTAGTAACAAAACATATCAAACTGTTGTAGCATATAAACGCAGACTGAAAGCAAGTCTTAATTTAAGGCATAGCTAACACCTTTCTAAGGTAAAAGGGATCAAATGCAGATGAATGTACTATATAACTTCATTCAACAGCATGAAGACTATCCAAGATCAAAGAAACATCGGATAAACTAAATTAACAAGACTTCAAGTACAGAAATAGCACACAAGGACTAGCTGAGTCCGAAAAGATGAAATGAGGACTTCTCTAAATCCCCCTCAAATACAGTATAATAAAGGACACTGCACAGAAGTTTACTGTACCTTGAAACATGCTTAAAAGCCTCCACTATTACTGGAGCAAAGTCTTTCGTAAATTCTGGTCCCTTCCTTTTGCTGTTCTGTATGACATCATTGGCCAAGTACAGGAATGTCAGCTTCCTATTTGGTTTTGCTAAAAAGAAGACAGTGATATACAAGAATAATTAGAAATTTTAGTTCCTTCAACTAATATGTATTTATCCACATTTACACTAAACAAAAAAAAAATCATCAAATGTATTTTTCCTATTCTCATTACTGCTTACAATATTTCACTCTGATTTTGTATTTAAAAATGCGAAAATATTTTGGTCACCCATTGACTTTTCTCTCTCATCTGCTGTAACTCTTTGCTTAGATTCTTCCTCCTTCATAATATGACACAAGTTCCCTCTAGGCCCACCTCCAAAAACAAAAAGAAAAAACCATGCTATTCCAAAGCATTCTTCAGCCCCCAACTATTTTCAGGTGTTTTCCTGAGCCCGGTACGATTTGCCTGTTTGGTAGCCTTCATGGATTTCTTCCACATACTTCAGCTTCAATTTGAGCCTGCATAAATTTCTTACTTCCATGAAGTCCTCTGACAAGGAGCTTCACAGATCCACAGTCAGTCATGTGAAGAACCTCTTCCTTTTGGTTTGAATTTCACTCAGTCTTAGATAACCACCTCCCGTTCTTGTATTTGAGCAAACTGAACAGTCAATCCCTAGTCAGCCCCTCCATATCACTGTGATACTTCCCTCCCTCATTTCCTATTCATTAAAACACTCATGTGCCTGCAGCTGTAATATCAAGAAAACATTAAAAAAAAAAATCACTTTCAGGCTGCTGTGTGCTGTGGTGTATCTCTTCTCCAAGCATTTTCAGCATTTTACTCCATTTCCGTTAGTGTGCAACAGGTTACAAGCTTCCAATTTACAAGTTGCTTTTGAAAAATCTATTCCATGTTTTCTAAGTGTTCCTACTCAGGTATTTTCATTTACCATCACATTTCACCTGATCTTCATTAGTCTACAGGTTTCTCAGAGCTGCAGCCCTCACTGTAACACTTCTCACCTTGTGTTGACATCAGAAAAACCTTTATTATCCATTACCACCACACAGAGTCAGCGTGTATGCTCCGACTTTGAAAAGACGTTTCTTTTGAAAGAAAAGATTTTATTTTTCCTGCCCTCTCAAGGAAGGCAGCACTGTGGTAAAGTCAATCAAGGATTTCTTAGAACTCATTCTTAGTTCCCAATATGGTTTGACTTTGTTAATTTCTACTCCAATGTCACAAACATGCAGAATCGCCACCCTCACATGCAAACAGAAAATTCAATATTAATATGCTTTTATCTTAAAGAAATGTTTTTGAGAACAAATCTTGCACTATAGAAAGACTCCTCTGAAGGATTTCTCCTTGGAATATTGAATTTTTCCCATCTTCTTGGACAGTCGTATCCAATAAGTTAAGAGAGTCCTGGATTAAGCAGGGAAAAAAAAAAATCCCTGCATTAAAAGTAAAAATGCATCTATCTCTTAGAATCAAGGCAAACTAAAAAGTGGCAAAAAAAAAAATTAGTTTGGAAGTGCTGGACTCAAGTTGGAGCTATTAAAAGTTTGCTCCAAACGGCAAAGCCACTACTTGTAAACACTCAGGAAATTCATCTATTTAGGTCAAAATCTGGCTAAACTAAAATGTGGATTTTATAGACTTATGCCTCTTAATTACTCTATTAAAAACTGACTGACAATATAGCAACACATCTCCTACCTATGTTTCAGACAAATCATAGTTCTGACACATAGAAAGCTTTGAATTATTCAAAGAGAGAATCTTAGAGAACATCTTGTCTCATGGGTGCACCAAAGTTAACCAGCCTTTACCAAAGCAGACCCTGCCCCTCCCTCACTTCTTAAATGAGCCCAGAATTAGGACTTTAATGAAGCAGAGAGTACAGTAAACAGATCAATATACTGTATTTGGGAAAAGCATGCTAAAACCCAGAAAGTCACGTTCAAGTTTATTTCCTCTAGTATTACCTTTTTGTCTTACTACTACAATTCAACAGAAACAAAGCTGCATTTAATGAACAAAAATCCTCAAAACACTATTAAGCTACCTGTGGCTTTGGCTGGAAATTCAACTAATATTCTACCCTTACATTCACAAAGAATATTGTGACGTAGAATTTTATTCCTCTTACTGTAAGAATGCTCTGCACGAAATTCCAAAGCTAAAAACTATGCCTACTCTCAAGAAGTGTTCCCTTTCACTTCACAAGTCCTCAGGAGTTAAATACTGGCCTACTACTGCTCTGCCTGACACATGAAACTGAAGTGCAACATAACCTTTAGCAACTGAGGTTGACAACTTTGAGCTGAAAAAAACCCAAAGTGTTACATTGCTACTAAGACTGCAAATTAACTATTGAAGTCTGAAATACCTAATTAAATTCTAGACTAGACAGATCTGTTCTGAAAAAAAAAATATCCGTTTAAAGCATCTCTCTTCAGTAGAAGTGACACTAACTTTGCAGCCCTGGGCTTTGATATACCTCAGAACACCAAAATGGATCAAAGAACTTAACTATTGAAGTCTGAAATACCTAATTAAATTCTAGACTAGACAGATCTGTTCTGAAAAAAAAAATATCTGTTTAAAGCATCTCTCTTCAGTAGAATTGACACTAACTTTGCAGCCCTGGGCTTTGCTATACCTCAGAACACCGAAATGGATCAAAGAACAATTTGACTATTTAAACAAAAAAGTGTCTTCAATGCTTGGCAAGGCTATTAGCAAAAAGCACTCTTACTGTCAGAAGAAAATGAAAGAAAAAAAGGTATGATCTTAGGTTAAAGAATGATCTGAAACACATATACTGCCAGAGTGTATAGCGTTAGAAGCAGCTAGCCCACAGTACAGCTGGTACGCTAACAGTACAGTGTGCAAACACAAAACTGCTACGAACATATTCATGCCACTGGAATAAGCTGCCCAGGGAAGTGGTTGAGTCCCCATCCCTGGATGTGTTTAAGAATAGGGTGGATGAGCTACTTGAGGATATGGTTTAATGGGGATTAGGGATGGTTGGACTCGATGATCTCTAAGGTCTTTTCCAACCTAGAAATCTATGAATCTATGAATCTATGTTGGACTGAATCATCTTTTCAGAAGCTCTGTGCAGTGTTCATGTAACTCTTCTGCTTGTTTCAGTTAGATTTACCATTTATCCACCAAAGCAGCTCCCTGAAGTGCTGGATTCTGAAATACTTTAACAGGTCAACAGTGTTGGCTGGTATAGGGGCCATATTAAGCATCCACAATGAGACTAACTGGGATTGGCACCTTGCAACTGAAACAAAGTCTGTTCCAAAAATGTACCTGACATATTTAAATGCCAATGAACACTCTGTAGGTGTGAATGGTACTTCACCTGCAACTAGCATAATCAGGCATCTACAGTGAAGAGACTTAGCATCTTCATTTTCATTGCTTAGTTTTGGCAGTCTATACTTCTTAGGATCACCTATTTGTTAGCCTAGTCTGGGTATTCCTGATTCTCTACTATTCCAATACATATGCCCTGACACTGCATCCCTAATACTTGGAGAACTTTAACACTGAAGAACCACCACTTGTGTGCAAGAAAGCTCTAGTATTTTACCTTAGAAGGCAGGAAGCATATTATTTGCACTGAGGTTAACTCTGGCAATCAAAGCCAGCATAAGCACCTGTATTTGTCTCCTCCAGGTTTACCTCCTGGCATTGGAAACTGAGCTCCCATTAAGATTGCTAGAAACATGCCCATTAGTTTCATGCTGTTCTGCCCTTCTTCCGTAGAGCTGCCAGGTATTTGCTGGTTTCGATGTACAGAAAGAATCTACAGAGAAACAACAGGCACACGGGATCTCGCTTATGTCCCACTACAAGCGTATACACTGTTGACCCATTTAAAATGTTACATCAGGCTTTAACCTTCAACAGGCTGGCTCTGCTATGCCAACTGACCCTGAATGAAAATATCATGTAACAAGAGGTTTTGAGAAAATGAGCATCAGTAGATTAAAATCCCACAACGGTTATCAGCACTAGACAGTTTCTTTTTTCACTAAAGTTCTCTAATATGGATTCAAATAAAGATTCGGCGCAAGTGCTTTTGAATTATGTTGGTCTACATACATGTAGCAGAGTATCAAGCATCAGCATTTCTCCTGAAATCCCTGTGACACTTCCTGTGTTGTAGCATGCTTCATATCTTTGCAAGAGAAGTTATCTGACATCTTTGTAAACATCTGACAAGACTTCAAGCTTTTTATTAGAAGACCAAACTCATCTACTTAAAGTCAAGCAGCACTGAGACTTGACTGTAACATCACTGACCCTTCACACTAAGAGCTAACCTGAATTTTTATGCAAGCTGATTAAATGCAGCATCTTTGGTAACATGACTGAAAGTATATCCATAAAAAGTGACTTGAGAGGCTAACATCAAAAAGGAAAATTCAAAGATAATATAATTCATAAAAGGCATGTTGTACAACAAGCACTTAACCATCTTAAGATTCATTAACCTTCTGTTATGAAAAAGTTAAACAAAGTGTTCAAAATTGCAGAGTCACCTGATTCTCCTGGTGAATGTTACCAAGGTTTGAGAACTGCTGTGTTTCCTTTTCAAAGAGAGGAATGAGATTGCCCACAGAATGCATGTTCAAGGTTTGAGGGTCCAAGTAACTCAACTTCGAGTTTGGAGGCTAGTACACAAAGGGAACACACCACACAGCCACTGCTGGGAAAGAGGCCACCAGCATCAAATTACCATGGGGACACAAGAAAGTTGGTCACAAATCAAGGAAACCATTCCAACATAATTACTCTTCAGAAGCTTCCCAGCACACTTAGTGTCATGAAACAAACCAATTCCTTTCATTGCCTGGCCTGGCTGATACAATGCCAAGATGGATACGATTGACAGCAACGACAGTTTTCGGATAGAAAAAAAGACACTGAATTTAAGTATTCAGAACCAGAATGACGAAAGACAGGCAGGTACAGGTAAGATACCAGGACACAAGTGGTACAACAATAAATTAATATAGATTTGTACACACTGCATTCTTTCAAGACTAATGTTATAGAGTAAACTTGTCAGGCTCAATTACGAAATCCAAATGTGACTATTTTAAGTGAAAGATTCTTAAGTTGCTAATCTGTTGCTCCTGAGTGTAGATCACTTTGTAGATCATACATGTAGTAAATACATTCCTCTAACTTGACTCAACAATTCACATTAACCTGAAGTTTTGTCTGTTGATTGATCTCCAAATCTTTTTGCATAGATGAGAAGATCCATTTGGATAAGCAGAAAGGTGCCCACAAGAACCTTCAGCTTAAGTATCTTACTAGCTTCCTCAACAGCACCTGCTAACAACCAGTGAAATCAGTAAGCCATAGTTTTCTTTCTTTTAAATAAAACAAAAATCTATTCTTTCTCTCAAGTGTATCACATTGGCCAATGACATTATGCCACCATTAAGTAAAATAATCTTACAACCATCAGTAATGAAAGATTCCTTCTCTCGGCAGAAAAAAATTACACTACACAGTACAGAAAACAACTGCTTTAAATCAGGAACTTGTTTCCCAAAATCTACTTCACATCTGCAAGGCAATATATTTCCACTGCTTTTGGCTGTGGTTCTGCTCCAAAGCAGCTGACTGACTGTCAGAGTAATTCAGATGTAGCGCAACTTTCAAATCTGGGTTCAATGTTGCCAGGCCTTCTCAATCTGCCTACTAATATCCTCTCTCTTCCAATTCTCAGCAGCATTGAGCAACTGCCACTAGCTTCAGAAAAATGTACTGCATCAATGCCAACAGCTACGAGTGAGGACCCAAACACTAGCTTGTGTCCCAGCAGCAGCAGTTGTAAACAAACAGCCATAAATAAGCAAAAACAGTTGCCTCTCATACTAATGAATGATTTCAGCATCCTAAAGTCAAAAAAAGTTCAAGCATAATAAACTGGCACAGCAGGTAAAGTGGCAGAGTTGAGTGCTAAAAAATACACCCTTCTGCAGCGGCCCAGATGTACTTAGACAATTGTGACTGCCAAAGACGATATACAATGGCTCTGCTAACCTGGATAAACTCTGCAGGGAAGACAATGATCAGTGTGACACAGATGGGGTGACAGATGACAGAACAAGAGGTCAAGTGATTAAAGGGGGAGAGGGGTGTTCAGCATCAGCTTCTGAGACTGACTAATCTATAAGATGCCATGTCAAGCTCTGAGGAAACAGATACCTGCATCTGAAATTCGGTTTAAAGATACAACACAACAACTACTAAAGTATCACTAGGGTGCAAATACCTAACAAGTGCCAGAGCTGGACCTGGGAAAGCTAACAGAAAATTAGTTGACAGGAAAAGAAGGTATTACAGACAGCTACAGAGCTTGAAATAAAAAGTCTCATATTACCAAACTCAAACATTTAGCAATTTTATTTTTTCCCTTTTAAACATAACAACACATTTTAACCTAGCACAGCAAACATCACATGGACCTTACTGAACAAGGAGTTGCTATTCACCCTTGAAGGCTGATGCTTTCAATTATGGAATTAAAATTTTTCATTTCAGAACAAAACACACAAAGAAATAACAAATCTCTACAATTGCAGCAATTGCAACCTCTACAATCTCCCTGAAACCAGGGAGCAAGAGGTGTATGGAAAAGAACATACCTGATTTGCAAATAAAAAGTAATTCTCAACAGCTGCCATCTCTGTAGAGCCTTTTCAAGGGGGTTCCTAATAGTTTTCTCAGCAGCCACTCAGTGGCTGCAGACTCACACAATGAAGTTGTATGTGTCACTACATAGTTTAAAAGAAACCCCTGTAAGTAAACCCTTTTATGGATACACAAAATTAAATAGTTTAAACGGGCCCACCAGTTGCATTTAGGGAATGATCGGTGTAGCCATGTTGCAGTTAATTAATTAGTACTAGTTAACTATTTAAATATTGAGTAAGCTTACGACTACTAAGTAATTAACTATTTAACTTTGAGCGTCACATTTCATACATCTGAAATCTAGCTGAAGCAGGATGACTTTCCTCAGTGCACACTTTTCAATCCTTTACAAAATTATACCTAATCCCTACTCAAAAGGTCTCTAATAATTAATTAGGTTATGTGGCAACATTATCACAAAAGTTAATCCACATAGGTTATTTCGAAGCAATCATGAAGCTGCCAAATCACAAGTACCAAAGAAAAAAAGGCCACACTTTTACAGAATAAAAACCTAAACTGCATGAGATCCACATGTTAGCAAGACATTTACTACAAATGAAGTACTAAAGAGTAGCCTCCCCACCAAATTATTTATTCCATAATTCAACTACAAAATTCAAAAGAACGCAGACTCATGATTAGCGTAAGCCAGCACTAACACAGGCTGTGGCCTAATGGGGTGATGCTATCCTCAGTCTCCCTTATGCCAGCATCAGCTTTCCATCAGGGAACTCATCTATCTAATTCAGAACTAATTATTGGTTTCGCTGGATTTTCATCAGCAGACTGTCAGCAAAAAAAGCATCAGAAGTATTTAAAGATATATTTAACCAACAGCAGAGAGGAAAGGGAGCTGTTCTGTTTTCATTGTAGACCTCTGCTTATCTGTCAAAACAGGAGAAATCTTTGTTATTTCATTACAGTTCTCATTTAAGTTAAAGGCATTCTATTAATCTTTTCTCATCAACGAACGACAGAATCTCTTCTCAACTAATCATAGTAATATATAGTAAAAAACCTCACTACATACACTAAAATGTGGAGTACCTGGAGCAAGACCTGAGTGGTTTTGCACAGATGCAGAATCAAAACTACTTAGTATCCCAGGCAGAGTACCAGCTCTGCTACAGCCCCACCTCAGTGGCACCGTTCATCCACACATTTTTCATTAGCACGTATTTGACATCAATTACTAAACAGTATGTCTGTACGCGCAGTCTCTTGAAGTGAAGTATATAATACGCAATTCCTTATCGTAATTTCATCAAACTACTGGTTGTATAAGAAGACATCCTTTCTTTAAATATTTGTGACAGTCACTAGGAACAACTAAACAATTCAGAGTTATCAGTACTTTCACAAACTAGAATACATTACGCTAGCTTTCCTCCAATTTTTTATTATTTCTAACAATGACTATGAACTCTACATGCCAATATTTTAAGAAGTACATATGAAAGTTGTGGTAGCATTAGGGAAAAAGCATGTATGCATACTCCTTCAGCGATCAGGAGTTAGATCAACTGTCTTGATACAACTTTGGCAACACTGGAGTTTGGGAACACAAATCCAATGTTATGTAACTGCTCGAAGTTACGCCAAAGACATGCAAGTTTTGCCCTCTCTCCAAGTTTACATCTAAGTGCAAGAATTCACTACGAGAATCAATGAAAGTTCAATTATAGAAAACCTGTAGATGAAAGCGTATGGAATCGATGATCTGTAGAAATGTCCTAACATGGCACCTGAACACTAGCAACTAACCCAAGTAAATAGAAAGGAACTAAGATATTATGCTGCCTAAGTTTTATGTGCATTTGAAAAGCTGCCTCTTCACCTCTACTCCAACATGATACAAAGACAATAACTATTTTAAAAATAAAAGAATCAGAACCAAACATTTAGGAACAAAAGAGCTGTGACCCTAGTACTCGTTTTCATGAATAACTAAAGACATCTTCGGAAAGGTTCATGCAAGCTGATCTGACAAAGGATCTTTTACCAACACTGCACCCAGAAAAAAAACGTAATGTCACACTGTAATGTGCTCAACTCAGTTGGCTGCCATGTTCCATGAGCCTGAAAACAGCAGGCTGGAAGGAAGGTCTGGAGACATGGGTGACAATAAAAAACGTGGGTGACAATAAAAAACGGATACAATAAAAGGAAACTAAATTTAGAAAGGCAAGGTTCAATTTTGAGACCCAGAACACTACTGGCTAGCAACAACAGCAGACAATGCCAATAGTTCTTGTGTCCATATTCCCCAAATAGAGATCATTTTCCTCTCAGGCAGCATGGAAATCACTTTTCTATGGCTTGGATGGTGGGCAAGTCAGGAGCCTTAAACTTACTCTATTTATGGCCTCGTTGCCAGTGTTCTGCTTTGTGATGTTTTAGGCAAGTCACTTCACCATAGCATACTGGTTTTCCTTCTCATCTTCAACATGCTGTCTGCTTAGACCACTAAATCCACCCTTTGTGGATTAGGGACCATCTTACAATTCTGCGCTGCAATTAGCAAAAAGTTAGTACCAGGCAAACGTAAACTCAGGTGCTATTATCAAAGATGGAAAATCAAAATACACTCCAGGTATCTTAACTATACCAGCTTCAAATGAAGTGGTGGAGGAACATACAAAAGAAGAAGCACTTGAAATAAGGCCTTTTTTGCCCAGAAGAAAAAGTGCAGGACCTTGAAAGCAAGTAACCTACTCCTTCCCACCAGAGGCAGACTATCGCATGCTTTCCATAGACCCTTGAAGGTTGGCTTCCAGAAAGAGGTCACCAGAAAAATCTTTCTTTGAAGCAGCAAAAGCTGGACGACGACTTCAACAAACTGAAGATAAAACCAACTATAGCAGCTCTGCTCATTCAAAGCTCTTGAGCTACATAGTCCTAACAGGCTTAA